TGGGTTTGGGCCTCAGCTCTGGAAAAAAAAAAAAAATTCCTGGGCCAAGCCTGTGCAGTAGCATATGCTTGTAATTCCAGCACTTGGGAAGCAGAGGCAGGTGGATCTCTGTGAGTTCGAGGCCACCCTAGTCTACAAAGCAAGTCCAGGACAGCCAAGGCTACACAGAGAAACCCGGTCTCAAAAAAAAAAAAAAAAAAAAATCCTGGGTCATCTTCCACCAAAGAACACTGGACTCTACACTATTTTTTATCATTCTCTACAAATTTAAACTAAATTCTTCATGTGGCCTAGCACATGGCTGAGCATTAAATGAACACCTGGGAAACTCTTGGCCTGTCAGTCATCTCTCCATGCTGCAACCATCATCTTTCATCCTCAAAACATTCCATAGATTCTTTGCTTCTAAAGATCAAATCTACACAGTGGGATCATCTAGTGTAGACAGCCTCATCTGCCTCTCCAGCACCATTCTGCTGTGCCCTCTCTATGGCTCTGTTCCCTCAAGGGACCTCTGCCAGCCTTTCCCTCCTCCTTCCAGTTTTTCTTTTAAACTCTATTATCCTTCCTGTTTCAGCTTTATTGGGAACCATCCCACATCTGCCAAGCCAAGTCAAGTACCTCTATCACCTGACTCAATGTCTTGGTTTTTTGTTTGTTGTTGTTGTTTGTTTTTTTCCATTTATCTCAACTTGTAATGAAACTTTAATTGTTGGGATCCTCTGATAGTGCCCCTACCTCCCAGCAGGCTATGAGCTCCCTGGGTTCAATTGTGCCCAGTCATCTCTAGCACCTGCCCCTGAACTGACATTTATTAGGTGCTCAAGAAACATCTTCTGAATGGCCAATAAAGCCATGCTTAGTGTTGGGATGTGCTGAGAAAAATACTAAACACTGAGATACAATCATTAAGACTGGATCTCACCCCTCAAAGAAGTTCATGGTCACAGGCTGAAACAAGAACAGAAAGACATAGGGCATTGTGTAGTAGGACTGATTTTCCTTGTCTCTATATTGACCCAGGTCCTGAATGGCCTTTCATTAAGCTTACAAGTTTGTAGTTTTACTCTGGTTTTCGGTCAAGAGAATAAACGTTCTCTAAAATTTTTATGGGCTATATTCTCTATGCTTGTGTCTTGCAAGGGATGGAACCCAGTGCCATAGGCATGCTAAGTGGGCTCAGTTACTATGCTTCACCCCTAACACAAGAGAGAATATTATTTGTCTTCAAGGAACGGCCTTTGATCTTGATCAGACAACTCTATAGTCTGTAGTAAGAGCCTTGCCAGGCCACAGAGGAAAAGCATGGGACGGCCCTGAAGAGACTTCATAGGCTGGGATCGATCAGTTGGTAGGGGAGGAAGGCTCCCCCTTCCTTAGGACTAGGAGAGGGGGAGGGGGTGGGAGGGAGGTGGCACTGGGAGGAGACGAGGGAGGGGCTACAATCAGAATATATAGTGAATAAATCTTAAAAAACAAGCTCACTAAGTCACAAGACAAAAGAAACAAACAGAGCTCTAGCAACCCCATGGCTCATAACCACCTATAGTGAGATCTAGTGCCCTCTTATGTGCAGAAGAACAGCATGAGAACACTGTATACATAATAAATGAATCTAAAAAAAAAAAGAGTTTGTTCTAAGTAGCAGTGCTTTAAATATCAAATGAGCTAGCCAATAGTAGATAGTTCAAAGACTGAAGTCAGGCTTCACCTTGTGGTTTGAGTTGGGATTGTCTTTTCAGAGTCAGGACAGTGGTTTTGTCTCACCAGAGTCTCTGCAGCTAGACAAGAATCCACTCTAAAGGAAGCAGTGAGCATGTGGGAAAAAGTTAAGGTGGCCCTAGGAGAAAGGCGGAGCCTAGTTCATGCACTTCCCAGGAAGGCGCTGTCAGCGCCGGTGCTCCTGAGGCGGTCTCACAGGGCTTTGGCTGGTCTGGAAAGAAAGAAGACATACAACTGTGGTCGGACATGATTCCAACACCAGAATAGGTCTGCCTATTCTAAGAGGCAGTGTGGTCAGGGGTAGGCACCTTCCTCCTACTTCCTTAGCAAAGCCTTTTAAGTTGCCCGGTGCATCCTCCGTGCCAGGGACATAATCTGCTTTATGCCAGACTCGAGCTTTTCAATATTACTTGTGAGGTTTTGTTTTTGTTTGTTTGTTTTTCTTGTCTATGGTTTTGTTGTTTTGTCGGTTTTTTGTTTGTTTGGTTGGTTTGATATATATATATATATATATATATATATATATATATATATATATATGTATGTATGTATGTATGTATATGTATATATGTATGTATATATATATGTATATATGTATGTATATATATATTTTTTTTTTTTTTGAGACAGGGTTTCTCTTTGTAGCCCTGGCTGCCTTAGATGTGCTTTGTAGACCACACTGGCCTCAGACTCACAGAGATCTACCTGCCCTGCCTCTTCAAGTGCTGGGATTACAGGCGTACACCACCGCATCCTGTTTACTTGTGAGTTTGAAGCAATCTCAAACCTAATTTCTATTCACATGATAGTACCTAATAATCAGATGGTGCCTCCTTGAGAATCTATGTTTTAAATGCAGTCACAGAAAGATTCACAGAAGAGGTAGTAGAGATGTTCAAAAGAGTTGACCAGGCTGGTGATACTGTTCAGCGGATAAAGATGCTTGCTTGCTTTGCAAACCTGATGACCTGAGTTCAGTCCCTGGAACCCATGGTGAAGGAGAAAATCAGCTCCTGAAAGCTGACCATTAATCTCCAAATACACACAAACACACACACACACACACACACACACACACACACACACATTAATAATAGTAATAATAGTAACAATAATCATTATAATGTAAAATTTAAAAAGTAAAATTTAGCCGGATGTGGTGGTGCACACCTTTAATCTCATCATTCGGGGAGGCAGAAGCAGGCAGATCTCTATAAGTCCAAGGCCAGCCTGGTCTACAAAGCAATTACAGGATAGCCAAGGCTACACAGAGGAACTCTGTCTCAAAAAAAAAAAAAAAAAGTGAAAATTAACCAATCAAAGAGAAAGAGAAAGGGCCTATTCCTAAAACAGGAAATATCCTGAGTGAAGACAGAGAAGCAAAAAACATCATGAAGTGTGTAAGGAAAGGAGATATTTCCCAAGCATATGATTTTCTTCAGCCCCTCTAATATTTGGAGACTCCAGCCTAAAGTATGTTACATTATTCAAATACAGCTAACATACAATACATCTGACTATTCGTAGTGTTAAATTGCAGTGACCAGTGGCCATAATGTTATTTTATGTGAATATGTATTTTTCAGGATGTTTTTTGGTATGCATTTGGTGACAATACTTTTTTAAACATTAGTTCTATAATGCTTGGTGAATAAAACAGTGTCACATTCTACACTTCAGGGTTAATGAGGATAAAATTCAAGATTCAAAACAATAGTTGATACTGAAGAGGCAACACGGAGCCAGGTAGAAGGAAGTCTCTCGTGCCACGTAAGCAACCTCGACTTTCCTAGAAGCCATTAAAAGTTTTGGTCAGGGGAATGACCTCATCAGACATGTCCACAACACAGCTTACCCTGGGTGTAAGACTGAAGAAGATCAAGTCTAGTGACAGGCCAATTCAGGAGAAAGCTGAAATAGAAATGAGGCTCAGACTCGGCAAAGTCTTCCTTAGCCACACAAACCTAAGGCAGAGGCAAGATGAGATGGACATAAAAAGAAACTGGGTTCTAGCCAGGTATATTGGCACAGGGCTACAATCCCAGTACTTGGGAGGCTGGGGAGTTCAGGACCAGCCTGGGCTACATAAAAAAGATCTTTTCTGGTGGTGGTGGCTTTGGGGGAAGAGTGTCTGGGTTCTCATCACAAGTCTGCCATTTATTCTCTTTGACTTCACTTTTGCATCTGCAAAATAAAGGGCCTTCCCCACTAATTACTGTTTCTTCATATGATCCTCACTCTTGGATTAAAAAAAAAAAAGTGAAGCCTATATCTTGGGAAGAGCCCTTTGCAAACCTAGAAGAGAGATCATCTGCTGTCTTGATGAGGAATAGAAAGAAAGTCACCACAGAAATGAGTCACGTTTGTAGAGTGCAATAAAAATATAGTACATGCATCATCTCAGCCAATTTTCACCCCCACACACTGATTTCACAGTGAGAAACTGAAGACCCAGAGAAAGTCATTAGATCTGCAAAACATATAACCATGTTTTCCATTCCAGACTGTCAACAGTTAAGCCCCATACACAGGCCAGAGCACTGGGGGAGTCACCCTAAAGACAGATCCACATCCTCTGCTTGGTTCTGCTCTGCTTCCTAAGAAGTGAATTACAATGAAAAATGATGCATGCGGTAGACCTAGGACCTTCTCAATCTGTTTGTGAATCTTTTGTTTGTTTGTTTCAATAATTTCTTGCTAGATAGCCCAGGCTGGCAAAGATTTCCTAATCCTGATTCAGGCTCCTGAGTGCTGGGTTTAAAAGTATACACCATTATATCTGGCTACATGTGAATTTTTTCAGTAATGATTTATTTTTATCTTAAAAAATAAATATAAATCTACTTTTCTTTGTTGTATTATTTCTTATTATTTACTGTTGTTGTTGTTTTGTTTTATGTTTTTTGAGACAGTAACCTTGGCTGTCCTGGAACTTGATCTGTAGACCAGGCTGGCCTCGAACTCAGAGATCCACCTGCCTCTGCCTTCTGAGTGCTGGGATTAAAGGTGTACACCACCACCTAGCGTCTCTTATTATTTTAAAATTTACCTTTCTTTAAAAAGATTTTTTAAACTTATTTAATGTGTATGAGTGTTTTGTGTGTATATATGTGCACCATGTGCCTGATGCCCATGGAGGTCAGAAGGGGTCATTGGGTCCCCTGGAACAAGAGCAGTATGAGGGATGTGGGTAACTGAGAACTGAACACTGGTCCTCGGCAC